TCTGAAGCTTCTGTGCAGGCAGAGAAAAATATTACACGCTCTGTTAGCATGAACAGTGTTTAGTTACTTATTTACTTCAATAACTTGGACAAGGTGTTTTTTATTAGTTACAACCAATGACTGAATAAAACAGTCATTGGCTTTTCCACATTCACTGGTTTATGAAGCAATCACATTACCTACTACTTACAACATGATATCTATTCTCATTTTGAGCTTGTTTTTCCATTTTACACTTTCCATTTGCACTGAAAAAAAAAACTGAAATGGTTTTGTTTATCCAACGAACCCTTTTCCTTGCCATTGGACAGAGCCACAGTGTCTCGTGAGTGAATGATCGTGACACTAAAGACTGCTTTCATGGCTGGTTCATCAAAGCAAGGAAAGCTTTTCCTGGCGTACGTTGCCTGCATTTGTGAGGTAGCAACAACTCTGCAAAACATTGGAAATAAACATTAATGGAAAACATTCACCAACAATCCAAAAGCCTTCAGAGAAACATTACGAAAATAATACTGCAGCTTTATCACAGAAACTGGCATCTTAAAATTATGCACAATCTCATTTGGTGTTTGCATGTGATTCACTAAATATCAGACACAAATCATCACATATTAAATAAACATCGATAACACAGTCATTCATCCAGCTAACAATCATAATTCACAAGTTACTGTATTGTGTGAAGTACAAAAAGAAAGTGATATGTCTACATTTGATTGATTGGCTGTATTGCTGAAAACTGCAGTGATGAAAACTGCAATCTACTGAGAACGACAAATATGACTTTCACATACAGTTTGGGTAAAGACTCATTCTGCAGCTTTCACTCAAATCTGACCCGTCCACTGGAAGGAGTAGAAATTCTTGCGATAATGGAAATGTGCACGTTAAATGACAAATATGACCTTAATCTTGACCTTGAAATGTAGCTAGTGAGTAAAACCATAAGCAGAGAACAGGTTCAAAACATAAAGCTAACAGTGGTTACCTGTCTGTGATTACAACCTCCTAACGCTGACATGTTTGCTCTCCAAAAAGAACCCAATATCTCACCAGCAGCATCTGACAGAACAGCAGTATTTAACACCGTGGAATAAGAATGTGTTGACAAGTCTTACTTCTTTACGCCATCCTCAACATATTCACTCCTGTAGAAGCCCTCCAGGTCATCCGCCAGCTCCCCGAGAAATTCTGTGTGAAGTGAATAGGATACTCCCGCCGATAATCTGCTGCCTAGCTGAATAACCAGAAACTCAGTTTTCTTCACAAGCCAAGAATTCAGTATAGTGGGCACTGGGGCCTCACCCTGGCTGCTCAGTTTAGCGTGGTGCCCAAAGAAGGTAGTAAAGTTGAGTTTCCTGGAGTGGATGATGATGAGGTCTGTTTCTTTCACACATTTAAAAATTACTGTTGAACGTCCAGTGAAGATGTACAAGCCCTCTGCATTGGGCTTCAATCGTGGCCACAGGGTCACATTGTAAGAGACGGGGATGAGGGAATCTGGAAGTCTGTAGTGGTCCCAGGGTTCCTTTGGGGTGTCAGGGGTGGTGCTGGGTGTAGTTGTACTGGTGCTATCTGATGCTCCATCTCCTACGTTACCTTGATTCTTGGATTTTTCCTTGTCGTAAGCAACAGAAAGAGCTATAATTGTAGCCAGTCCACAGACCGTGAGTACAAGCATCCCGAGGCCCACATTTTTACTTATGTAGTAGACTTTCCCCATGTCTGATCAGAAGGTCAATGCAGGCATCAGAGGGGTCTCAGTCTGTTTATGTCAGCACGGCAGAACTCCTCCTTCTCAGTTAATGGGTGAGCTATTTACATGGCACCTGCCAAAAAAAGAGGAAAAACAAGAAAACCT